GGGGGGGGGGGGGGCGATGGGGAAGTGGCCGGCTCACGTGCGACGGTCTCATTGAGCTCGATCCGCAGCGTCTCGATGTTGCCCATCGTCAGCCACCACATCTTCTCCTACACACACACATACAGAGAGAGAGTCATGCACCCACAGCCACGCCCACACCTTCCCCACAGCCACGTACCACCTCCGACAGCCCGGCGCTGTTGTCGATCATCATCCACGACAGAATCACCGCCCCGACTGCGATAACGATCCCCACCAGGATGCCCAGGCCGCCGTTGAGCACAGAGGGCAGGGCGAAGCCGAAGATGGTGCCGACCACACAGGCGCCGATGTAGCCGAAGCCGAAGATTAGGGTCGCTGGCTTGCCGATCTTCTCGAACTGGTCGTCCGTCTTGGCGAAGAAGCCCACCTAAACACATAGGAGAGGGAAGTGGGCGTGTCTGTCTCCCTCTCTGTTTGCCTGTCTCTGTGTCTGTCTGTGTGCCTACGGCGGCGGACTGCACGAGGCCGTTAAACAGCGCCAGGACCGACGCAAGATACCAATCCACTGCACACACACATGACACACACATGACGGCGGACGGCATCAGTCCATGATGTGATGCCCTACCTGTGTCAAGCAGGTGCAGCCCAATGTCCGTCACGTAGAAGAGCGCAATCGCGAAGAAGATGAGGCACACCACCCCCACAAACACCGTCCGCCTGGTGCGGTGAAAGAGCACCGAGTCGTGCAGCGGCGTGGCCCAGGCCTCGACGAGCGAGAAGGCGCTGTCGATGCCGAGCAGGAAGAGGGTCAGGAAGAACAGGGCGCACAGGATCTGCGCACCGACGCCCGGGATCTGCGCGAGGCCGACTGGGTAGGTCTGGAAGGCGAGGCCCATCCCGCCGGCAGGCATTTCGTCGAAAGCAAGACCTGCACACACACACACACACACAGAGAGAGAGAGAGAGAGAGCAGAGAAGCGCCCGCTCATTGTAAATAGTTTCCTCCTCTGTGTGTGGGGGGTGGTGGTCTCTCTCTCTGTCTCTCTCTCTGTCTCTCTCTCTCTGTCTCTCTCTGTCTCTCTCTCCGTGTGTGGGTGGGTGTGTTGACCCGCTTGGTTGGCCAGGTAGCCGAGGATGGCGAAGACGGCAAATCCGCAAAGGAAGGCCACCACGAAGTCCGCAATGGCCACAATGACGGCGTCCTGAGCTACGTTCTGGTTTGTCTTGTTGTACGACGCGTCTACACACACACACGCACATATATCAGACGTGTGTGACGGTGTGTGTGGGTGTGGGTGGGGATTGCTTACATGCCGTCATGATACCCCAGCAGACGCCGATCGAGAAAAACACCTGGCCGACGGCGTCGGACCACACCTGCGGCGTCTCGGTTAACGACTTGACATCCCACTCGCCTGTGCGACCACACACACACACACACACACAGAGAGAGAGAGAGAGAGTGAGTGGGCCTGAGGCTTCTTCTTATGTATGCACCAGCCAGGCACCTATGTAGGCCTTGATGCCCATTCCGCTGCCTGGCAGTGAAAGGCCGACGGCCATCAAAGCGATGAGGAGCAGGAAGGGCAGCGTCATTGTCACGTAGACCACATAGCCGGTGATGGAGGGGCCCTGGAAGATCTGCACGATAACACAGACACAGCCACCCAACGCATACACACACATACACATACCTCTCTGTGTGCCTTCTCGTGTGTGCGCGGGTCACCAACCGAGAAGTAGACGCAGCACCAGACGACGACAATGGCCACGACGAGCCCCCACACGAGGGTGGTGGGGGGGCTGTCGGGGGGAGACATATTCAAGACGCTGTCCTCAAAGAAGGCCGATGCCTGCAAAACCACACACACACACACACACACACAGGTTGTTATGGGTGTGCGTATGTTTCTTTGACTTGGCGCGTACGCACCCTGGCAACGAGGGCCTGCTTGCACCCCTCGGTGGCTGAGAAGGTGCATGCCCCGATGGCGAGGCACTGGTCCTCTGTGACGGCCTCCATGCACCGCTGGATCTCCTCCGTCTGCACCCAAACACGCATACGGACACATCACGTGCGCGTGGACAGGTCCGATCAGCCAGCGCATTCTGTGTGTGGGTGCGGGTGTGGGTGTGAGAGTGACCTTGGTAGTCCAGGGCATGTCGGCCTTGAAGCAGTTGACCAAGTACACTAACGCGTAGGCAATGATGGCCGTGTAGTATGACGATGTCTGCCAGCCAGACACACACGCGCAGACACACAAAGAGAGAGCACAGAGAGAGAGAGAGGGATGCATACGAGAGTTTGATGGCGACTGTCCCTCTCTCTCTCTCTCTCTGTGTGTGTGTGCGTGTGTGAGTGTACCATGATGGATCCCCATGGCGCCGAGTAGCCCACGCCGACCATCCGCTTGTTGACGCGACTGAAGGCCAATGCGTGGCCGCCCTGATACACCTGACCTGCACCACCATCACGCAACACAACACAAGACAACACAACACGCGCGTATGTGTCGACACACACGTGTGCAGATCCGCGTGACGTGTCGATGTGCAGTTACCGAGTGCGAACTCGGTGGTGAGCATGGGGATGCCCAGGAAGAACAGCGCGAGCAAAAAGGGGATGAAGAACGCCCCGCCTGCACATGGACGGTGGACGGATGGAAAAGACAGACAGACACAGTGAGAGAAGCACGCACACACATACACACACACACGCACTGACCTCCATAGCTGTAGCACAGGTATGGGAATCTGCGCATACAGACAGATGAACACAGACAGGCAGACAGACAGACCAATGCAATGCATCCTTCGGGCTGTGTGCATGTGCACAGTCCGCCGTTGTTCCCCCCAGCCCTCCCAGGATACTCACCGCCACAAATTGCCCAGACCTGCAGACACAGACACACACAATCATCACGACCCCATACCACGCAGATCATCTTCCATCCCTCCCTCTCTCCCTCCCTCAGTGCGTGCGGCTCCCTCCCTCCCTCCCTCCCTGACTCACCGACAGCCGAGCCGACTGCCGCTGTGATGAAGGCGAATCGGCTCGCCCAGCGGTCACGCCCCTCCTCGCCCTTGGCAGCTGTCATCGTGCGTGAGAGATGGGGATGCAGATGCTTGTCCTTTCACTCGTTTTCGGCAGATCTTTGGCACAGCCGTAATGTTTGGGCTCTCCTCCACCCCAATGTAAGCCTCCTTGCCTTTTGCTTCTCTGCGGAGAAAAGCTCGCAAAAAGCTCGCGTCCTTTTTCTCCCCCGCATGGCAACGGAGAGGAAAGGCGAGTCGCTTACCATGGAAAATGGCGGCTGCGACGATTTGGAGCCGCTGCCATTCATCGGCCGCCCAGCAATTGACAGAGAGCTGCAGAAGGCCGACGAGGCGCTCGCCGCCATCGAGCAGTCAGCCAAACAGATGCGCAAGAAGCTGCGGCAGCAAGCCAAGACGATCAAGGACCTGATCACGAGCAATGGCGGACAGCCGATAGTGACGGCGCCGTTGAGTGAGGAGATTGAGATCAACGTGGGCGGGACGGTGCTGTGTGTGCCGCGCAAGCCGCTGCTGCTGCCCGGCGTGAGCGACTCGTTCATCGCCTATCTGCTGCTGCACCATCTGGATGGGCTGCCCAAGGACACAGACGGCCACCCGTTCCTCGACGCTGATCCAAACTACATCGACTGGTGAGCCAGTCGACACACAGAGAAGGGGGCAGGGCAGACGGGCTCACGCGCAATGCTGTCTGTTGTATCTGTTGGTGTCAGGTTGTTCAACGAGGTGGCCAGCGTCGGTGTGGCCGATGCACAAGCCGAGACGACCGAGATCGTCCTCACACCGCCGCACGACAGTGACAGCTCCTCCCTCTTCTGGCATGAGTTCCTCTTCACCACCATCACCGGCCTCGACATCGACATGCCCACAGACCCGCCGCCGCGAGCCGATGACGACCACATGGAGGTGGACGACCAGCAGCAGCAGGAAGCGCGAGAGCAGCAACAGGACCACGAGGGCTGGAACGACGAGGGTGAGAGTGAGGATGCGGCCGACCACCTGGTGGACCTCCACAACAGCATCGCAAGCCTCGATGCATCAGTGGGGCGGCTGGGCGGCGTAGAGGCGGACCTGGTCTGGTTCCACAAGCTCGTGAAGCGGTTGCTGGCGACTGACGAGGGAGGGGAGGGCGATGAGATCAAGAGCGTGCGGGTGATGGGCAAGACGGTGTCGACCACCGAGGCCACACTGGCGCGTGTTGGCAGCGACAAACTACTCTACAGGACATTCCACAGGTGGGCAACACAACACCAGCAACACAGCCGCAGCAACAGGAACAGCAACAGCGTTGCGCTCTTCGCTCTGTGTCTGCAGTGGTGCGCCTGTGATTTCCATCTCGCCTTCGCATCTGATGAAGGTCGTCGACTTCGCCCGCAGACAACGGATCGCACCCTTCGACACTCTGGTCATGCCGCCGACATCGACCAGGACCAAGCAGATTCGGACGGACACTGAGATGCATGGGCTGAAGTACGAGCCCCTCTGCAGCGGCGTGGCGGGGGGCAACTTGGTCATCGAGACGGCCGAGGAGTGGGGCGAGGTGCTCAACATGACGGGCAACACCTCACCAATGCCGTCACTCTTATACAAGTCAGCGAGCCACAAAAGGCGGCAACGGAAGGGCCCTGAAGATCTGCCTTCGGGTGTGTCTGTTGTGTGATGTCCGTCAGGTCGAGTCGTGACACGTTTGCCTATCCCTCCTTCCTCGACAAGGTGGTGGGCAAGAGCGGCCTCCTCTTCGCCCTCCGACATGGCGACACGCACCGATTCGGATGCTTTGTCGACGGAGAGGTCAAGCTACCCGCTGACCCCACAAAGACCAACGGGTACGAGGCGCCGGTCTTCCTCTACGCGCTGTCGGGTGCGTACGAGACGCCGACCAAGATCGAGGTGCCGGAGGAGGACAGGCAGATGGTGTCTGTGGCCGGCACACAGGGGGTGGTGGAGAACGACGAAGGCCAGCCGCGTGCCAATGTGAGCATCGGCGGCGGCCATCTGTGGCTGGGACATGGCCGTCCTGGCCCGGGGCCGACCTCAGCAGCTGCCAGCAGTGGATCAACAGGGATGAGCTGTCGGAGGGATACAAGGGGACGATCAGTGTGCAGGGCAAAGGCACACTGGCGCAGTCCAAAGACTTCACGTGCGATGAGATGGAAGTGTGGCAGGTGAGTGGGTGAGGGGGCGGGGAGGGCACATATCAATGGCTGGTCGTGGCCCAACGCTGCTGTATGTGTGTGTGCAGGTGGTGAGCGGCTGAACCGACCGACGGCACTCATATAGACAGCGACAGAGGTCGGTGAGACAACACTGCACCAAAATACCACCGGCAGAGAGAAGCAAACACACTGCTGGCCTTGTTGTTGTCGCTCTCTCTCTCTCTCTCTCTCTGTGTGTGTGTGTGTGTGTGTGTGTGAGTTGCAGGTGTCTTGTGTGATGGAGGCCGCTACTGGGCAGCTTCATAGCACAAAGTTGATGGTAGACAGACAGACAGAGAGATCAGAGGTGGAGGGACAGAGAGAGGGCGGCGGCTGGCTGACTACGTAGTGAGTGGGACTCTACCGCATTGGTGCTATCTATGCATGGCTCGTCAATCTACACCTGTAGATACAATGAGTACGTTCACCATGCACACGTCATTCATTCAATCTTCACACATCCATCCATCAATCTGCGTATGTGCCTTACACGTGCGCGACTGACAGACAGAGCAAGAGAGAGCAAGATGCTTGGTCGTCTTGTGGCCTTCTTTGTCAAGCTAATGGTCAAGCTAATACGTCATTTCATGCAGAATAACTCCAGAGACGCACGCACACACACACACACACACACAACACAGAAAGATAGTTCTTCCTCGCCGCCGCCTTGCGCACTCGCCGGCCATGTAGATTTCTTCACATTATCGGCGGCATAAAGGGGCCAGCTGATATAAAATGTAGGCACCGATACTGTCTGGCACCTGCAGCAATAGGTGGACGCACAGGCGGCCCCTCGAGCACCTTCTTGGCGCGCTGGATCCATGTCTCCCCATCGGTGAGGAGCTGGGTGGCCTTGACGCCGTGCGGTGGGAGGGGAGACGGGAGGGAGGGCGTGAGCTCCGCGATGGCCGCGTACTGACGCATGCTGGCCTCAGGCAGATACTCCCAGAGCCGGGAGGGGTCGCGCGGCCGGCGAGGCATTCGCTGGAAGGGAATGTTGGACTTGGGCATCGGCTGGAAGGGGATGTTGGACTTGAAAAACGGCCTCGACATGCAGACCGCGAAGCATGCTGAAGGGCAACCATCATCATGGTACGTCTGAGTGCCGCCTGTCTCCATGGACATGCCCCTATTGCTCACCGACGTGTCGGCCAGCGCAGCAAGTGGCGGGCCATATCAACATCCGCAAGGGGTGCTGGTGGCATGACAACGTCGGCAGGCGGCAGCACAGCAGGTGGTGGGACCTGGGGTGCGATCGGCACTACAGGTGGCATCTCGACGGCCACAGCAGCAGCAGCAGCAGCAGCAGGAGGGTCTCCAACAGGAGGGGCCACCGGCACAGCGACAGGCACATGGACAGGGTCAGCAGCCGGGGCGGTTGCTGGTCTGCAGGTGGGGGCGGCTGGTCTGCCGGGGGGGTTGGGGGCGGCAGCAGATCCTCAACCGGGAAGCCGCGGTCGGCGTACGCAGTCTTGAGCTGTGTGAGGGCCGGATCGTTGAAGTACTCATGCGATAGCAGCTGTGCGGCGCTCCAGCGCTGTGGGGCGAAGCAGAGACACCTACAAAAGGAGGCCACAAACAAACAGACAGATAGACGGACGAACAGACAGACAGACAGACGGGGAGACATGAGAACGACAAAAGGTACATTCTGTAATCTCTCTTCTCTCTCTCCCCGCCACTCACTTGATTGGAGTAGAAATCGACGGCCGTCTCATCCAGCGCTCTAGCGGTCCAGTTGCGGATCATACTCTTGTGGTGTTGTTCGGTGTGGGGCGGTGTGATCAGCCAGGGCAGCTGCAAATCCACCTGGCCCACCGTCCTATCCATCTGGGGCATCTCGGCCTCCCCGGGCAGGCCCATGAAATGGGCGTGACGCTCCGCCTCCTTTGTGAAGTATTCCTCCTCCGTCATGCCCCCCGGACGGCCATAGTTGGCCGGCACCTCGTACAGCGGCTCACCGATGTGAGCCTCGTAGAAGAGCTGGCCGAACTGGTAGATGTCGGCTTCAAAGGGGCTGTTGCGCCTGAGAATCGAGAAGTCTGCACACAAAGAGACACGAGAGAGAGAGAGAGAGAGAGAGAGAGACGCCATCACACAAGGAATGAATGACCCCTTCTTATCACAGTCTCTTGTCTTGCCAGTATCCTCATCCTTACCGGCGTCGGGGTTCATGGCCATCAAGGCCTGTTTGAAGACCCCTTCTGGTGTGTAGTACCCCGGCGTCCCCACCAGCTCCCCCTCCCCCTCCTGCTGCCAGTCGTCCCCATCCGGGTGAGTCGCGAAGCCGAAGTCAATCAGCTTGACCGCGTCCAGGTCGGTGAAGACTCTCGATCGGTCGCCGAAGAGGTTGTCGGGCTGCAGATCTCTGTGCGCCATGCCCTTCTCGTGCAGCCACGCCAGCACCATGAGCGTCTGGAAGGCGAGCGCCTTGATCTCCGCCGGGTCGAGCAAATGGGGGGATGGGTTGCCGCCCTTCTTGCTGACGTAGCGGCCGAGTGGGTACTGGTTTGGCGCCTCGAAGAGCTCCATCAGCGCCCACGAGTCCTCCCGACGTTTGGATCCTGCCACTGCCAGTCACCCCCGGCGCACAGCAAATACTTTGACCACATTGGGGTGCTCGTCGGCCTCGTCCGCCAGCGAGATGAGGAAGGCGCACTCATTTCGGCCCGGGTCCCTGAGGTCATTGTAGGTTGGCTTGTTCATTACCTTCAGCCCCTTCCACACGTGTGGGTCAGCTGCGGTGTTGTCGCGGACCTTCCAGAGCGATGCGCAGCCGCCGCCAGCAAATGGCTGGGCCGAGTCGAACGTGAAGCGGCCATTCGTGAACTCGTAGCCATCGCAGTCTAAGGGAAAAGCTTGAGCTGCGGCCGCCGCCATGACGTGAGCAGCGGCGGGTCTGCCGCCAACTCACTCCGATAGAAACTCCCAAGGCGATAAAGAAGAAAAGCTGTGGGGCTGGGGTGGGTCGATTGAGCAAGTTGGTCTTGAGAAGAAGACAATGGACGCAGAGCTGCAGCAGGCGGCTGCTGTTTGGTCGCTGCAACAGCGTTCGTTTGAATGCCAGAAATGATAGCACTCGAGCGGTCTTCGGACAATTTTTTGCACGACTGGGCGACCCACAGCACCACTGCCAATGCCGCGCGGGTGAGACGCTCGTTACGGCCGTGTACTATCGGTTTGACGTCTGGATTGCCTGCACGGGCAGCAACAGTAGGCGTTAACACACTTGTAGGCTGTGTGTTGTTGCTTGTGCAGGGAGGAGGACGTCCGACCGTTCGGAAAAAGACATACTGTCGTAGTTCTAACGGCTGTCTCCGTTCTGTCCCCGGGCGAGGATTTGCAGAACCGGGACGGGTTGGTGCTGACAATTTCAGTACGATATGTGTCACATATTAGTCCATAGACTGCTTGATGATGTCCTCGAGCCCGCCGTCGCATCTGCCTGGAAAATGATCAGTGACACTTGGCCAGGATTCCCAGGAAAATTCATTTTTGCGAGACCGGTAGGGGGCCCCCACTTGCCCATGCGAGATGGCGAGCCCCTGGTTGCTCTCAACTTCCGCGGATCCGTCGCATCCTTCTCCCCTCAAAATGCTGTCGCTCAAGAGTCTGGTGGTCTTGGCGACGGTGTGCGGCGCCGACTTGCTTGCTGTGCCTCCAGTGAATGCCCACTGGCAGCATCCGTCTCACGCCCTTGAGCAGTCAGGTACAGGCACCGCTGCTACATGTCACAAGCAAGCGGTCAAACCAAGAGATACATGCACCATGGCTATGTCCCAGACACACAGGAGCTTGAGAACCCGGCCGAGTCTGAGGAGCACACCACATTCGTCGTCCTCGGTACGTATGCACGGGCAAATGCACCTGTACATGCCGCTTGTTGCCAAACAGGCGCATCCGGCGATCTGGCCAAGAAGAAGACATAGTGAGTGAGAGAGCCAGGATGCACAGACAGACAGACAGAGAGACCGCTGTGGGTGCGTGGTGTGCGTGTCAGCCCGGCGCTATTCAGCCTCTTCTGCGAAGGCCGGCTGCCCCGCAACTTCACGATCGTGGTACGCACGCCACGCTCCACAAAATTTGTGTTACCTATTTGTGTTACCGCACCCGTTCGTCCATGTGTGTGTGTGTGTGTGTGAAGGGCTACGCGCGCAGTGACCTCTCATTCGACGACTTCTGGGAGCGACTCTCACCTGGACTTGCGTGAGCACCCTTTCCTCTCCCCTAGTGCAATCCATTCGCTCATTTGTGTGTGTGCGTCAGGAAGGTGAGTGCGTTTTTCGGCAACCGGTCGGCCCGTCACCGGGGCATGTCGCACATCTGCCTCTCCCCCGACACGTTCAGAGAGAGATGCTCCTACTTGTAAGGCTCGCAGGCCACACACACACACACACACACACACAGAGAGAGAGAGAGAGAGAGACTTGTTTGCCACGCCACGACACTTGCACACATCCACCTGTGTGTGTGTTCTTCTCTGTGTTTGTCGATGGATCGGTGGGTGGTCCAGCCGTGGTCAGTACGGGAGTCCCGACGACGCAGCCCGGCTGGACAAGCTGCTTCAGAAGGAGCACGAAGCCAAATTCGCACGGGCGAACCGGATGGTACGTACACACGTGTGGATGATCGATCGATGCATAGCCCACGTACTGTATACACCTCTATCTACCTCTCTCTGCACACACTGTGTGCGCGTGTGTATGCAGTACTATTTGGCGCTGCCTCCCAGCCTGTTCGCAGACGCAGTGAGGGCCCTGAAGCCACTGGCATGGAGCCAAAAGGGTGCGCTTGCACGAATGAATTGTTCCTGCGGGCCATATGGATGGATGTGCACATGACAGGATGGAATCGCGTCGTTATTGAGAAGCCCTTCGGCCACGACCTGCCGTCGTCCGACAAACTCGCCAGCGAACTCATGGCCGTGCTCGAGGAGAAAGAGGTGGGACCCACACAAGTACGTACAAGTGTCGTTGCCTCTGTTTGCGAATGAATGAGTATACGTGTGTGTCTGTGTGTCGGGTGTGTTGTAGACGTATCGGATCGACCACTACTTGGGCAAGGAGATGGTGCTGGACCTGATACCGCTACGGTTTGGCAATGTCGCCTTCACACCCATCTGGAGCAACCACTACATTGACAGCCTCAGAATCACATTCAAGGAGGTCAGTTGGCCATCAGCATGACCCACACCGAGCGAGCGACACACGTTCTGGTATCTTTGCGTGAGTGTGTTGGATGGGGTATGGTGTTCTGGTGTGTGAAGAACATCGGCACGGAGGGCCGTGGGGGCTACTTCGACAAGGTGGGGATCATCCGCGACGTCATGCAGAACCACCTGCTGCAGGTGAAAGGCATATACGCTCACACGGCTGGGTGGTCTATGTATCTATGTGTGTGTGTGTCTGCGTCTGTAAAGATGTTGACATTGGTGGCGATGGAGCGGCCGGCGTCGCTGCTCGATGAGGACATCCGCGACGAGAAGGTCAAGGTCCTCAAACAAATCGGACCTATCAGTAAGCCCCAGGACACCCATATGCATCACGTACGCTGACAAAGTGATTGATGGATGGATGGATGGGTCACGCGTGTGACCAGAGACGGAGCATGTGGTGCTGGGTCAGTACACTCGATCGGAGGACGGCAAGACGCCAGGATATAAAGACGTGAGCCACCTAGTGCATGTGTCTCACGTCTTGTCCGTGTATGTGTGTGTGTGTGTGGCAATTTGATTTGCAGGACCCCGGTGTGCCGGCTGACTCGCAGTGCCCCACGTTCGCGACGCTGGTCATGTTCATCAACAACGAGAGATGGGCCGGCGTCCCCTTCATCATGAAGGCGCGCACCGCACACACTCACCCTCATGACATACATACGAACCTGCGTGCGCGCATACGTGTGTCTATGTCCTTGCAGGCAGGCAAGGCGCTGGAGGAGCGGATGGCTGAGGTGCGGATTCAGCTCAAGGACGTCCCTGGCGGGTATGGATGTCGTGGGCGTGCACCACACACACAGGGGAGGGAGAGAGAGACAGAGAGAGAGAGACGCACACACAACACCTGCCCTGCCTGTCTGCGCCGTATTTGCGCCGTTCGTTGTGTTGCGCTTCAGTTTGTTTGGCGAGTTGGCGAGGAACGAGCTCGTCATCAAGGTAGGTAGGCCGACCAGCTGTCTCCGTGCGAGCACGTGTGCCCCCTTCCTCCCTCCCTCCCTCCCTCCCTCTGTCTGTCTGTCTGTCTGTCTGTCGACTGACTGCATATATATTGCAGGTGCAGCCGAACGAGTCCGTGTACCTGAAGATCTACGGCAAGCAGCCGGGGCTCAGCAACGAGGTCGTGCAGACAGAGCTCGACCTCAGCCTGCACGACCGATTCGACATCGACAGACTGCCCGACGCGTACGAACGGCTCAGTCTCGACTGCCTCAACGGTACAGTACACAGTTTACACCCACACAGCACAGACATTCATCAGACTGGCTCCCTCCCTCTGTCTCTGTGTCTGTCTGTCTGTCTGTCTCTGTCCATGAAGGCGACAAGCGGAACTTCGTGCGAACAGACGAGCTGCGGGAGGCCTGGCGGATCTTCACCCCCATGCTGCACACCATCGACGGGCTTGCAGGGGGCGACGCCACGCCTGTGACCGTCCACACGTACCCCTTCGGCTCGCGCGGCCCACCCGACAGCGACGCACTCGTTCAGCACTTTGGGTACAAACAGACCACCGGCTATACGTGGAAGCCGAAGAAAAAGGGCGGCGCTGGGAATGAGTGACAAGTACACAAAGGAAGGGAGCTGTCTGCATGCAAGTGTGGCAAGTGTGATGTGAGTGTGTTTGAGTGAGTGGCGTCTGTCGGTGTGGTGACGTCAGGTACGCCATGTATCGGCAGCAATACAATGAGCGCAGGCAGGCAGGCAGGAAATACGTATGCCTGCACGCATGGGTGGACGGATTGAGAGGTCGGTTGGTTTCTGAGACTTGTTGTGCGTTTCTGAGACACAATGTGTCCTCACTGCGTGGACGGATCTGACATGCATGAGGTTTCTGAAACGACATATGTCATCATCTATCCAAAGTCAAAGCTTTGGGCATAGCGACCTTCGTATCGAAGGCTGCACATTAATGGGCCGGCAAGCTAAGGCACTTCGGTCGGAGGAGGTAAGACACACACCTGGCCAGACACTTACGACATGGCTGTGTGTGCGCGGAGAAATTGCACCGCCACGCACCCTCCGTATGTATGAGTGTGTGTGCGCAGATACTCTTCCCTGTGTGTGTGCGCGTCAAAGTGCTGGTCGGGGTGTGGGCCGGTTGCCGGAAGAGACAGATAGAGGGAGGGAGGAAGGGGTTCCCGGCCCGTGACAATCGCTTTTTGCTCCGACGTTTTCGTTTCTGTGTGCGCGTACCAATCATGCTGGCTGACTCTCTCCATCTCTCCGATGTCTCTGTGTCTGCCTGTGTGTGCGTACCCATACTCACTTACTCACTCACTCACTTCTTTGCTCAGATGTGCGTTGACACAATCCTTTCCCTGCCTGTGTCTGTGAGGCGGACGGGCGGAAGGAATGGCGAGAGTGATAAGGGGGGCGGAGGGATGGGATACAGAAACAGATATACTGATATGTGAGACACGACAAACGTGGCGAGACAATCGAGCACAGCACTAACAACTGACGTCAACACAAAAACGTTGCATGCACGCACAGAGACACCCGCGTCGTGGCGTGTGTGTGTTGGTGCTGATTGGCTTCGATAGGAAAGGCGATATTGATGATCCTTTGCCGATCGGCCGGGCCGTCCCGTCAACAGACATCAGAAGCGGGTGCCCTTCCTCCTCTCTGTGCACAAACCACATACAGAGAGACCACACCAGACCAGATGTGGATGGACACACACACAGGTATGTACCCGAGAGGGGGGAGGCAGCGGGTGTGTACCTATACAGTGTTGTGTGGCGGCCTTGCCGGATGTGTGCATGTGATTGATTGATGCCTGTGTATGTGTGTGTGTGCGTCGTGTCACTGATTGATACATACGTGTGTTGCAAGTATTTTTTGTGTCTGTTGATGCATCCGATATGTGTCAAGACCATGCACACATGAATGACTGAATCAGATGAATCAATCAGTCGACCAGTGAGTGTCGCACGCACGCACAAGAAGCATGCAATGCGCGGGGTTGGTGTACACGCGACTGACTGCACACACACGCACACACATACACAGAGAGAGAAAAAGAGAGAGTAATCCGTCCATCCATCCATCCATCCATTTGTGCTATCTTCCTACCTCAGACGGCCATCTACGTGGTGTTGAGATCAGATCCGCTCAGTCGCTCCCCATCAACACACACCACCTGCACACACATTAACACAAAAGGCCATCGGTCACCTATCCGGTGCTCCCGTCGAGCTCCCAGGTGCCGTACCTGCCATATTTCCATATCGAGGAATGTGAAGCAGCTGGCGGTGGCCAGACACCCGTCGCCATCTCGATCGATCTTTCCGTGATACCCAGCAAAAGGTCCTTCGGCATCCGCTGATTGCAGCTGCTGAGGTCGGCTGCAGGACCATCATCACCATATCCGAGCCACAGATAGCCGTCACCAATGCAGACATTCGCACGCGGCCGCTCCTTGTCGTCCTCCACCGCCCCCTCTGTGCCGGCCACCGCCACCTCCTGGTCCTCCTCTGGCACATCGATCTTGGTCGGTGCATTGTAAGCGCCACTCAGCGAAAAGAAGAAGACCGGCACACTGTAGTCGTCGGTGTCGTCGGGGTCGTCAGGTGATGTGAGTTCTCCATCGATGAAGGTGCCGAATCGGTGTGTGTCGTTGTCCTGAAGGGCGAACAGCAGGCCGCTCTTGCCCTGGGCGCTGCTGAGCATCTTGGGGTACGCCTTGCCATCACGACTGGACCTGACGACCACAACGGGCAACACATAGGTGCCAAGTTTCCTCTCCTTCCGTCTGAGTGATGCTCGTGTCACTTGAAGAGCAGCTCGGTCTTGGCGTTCTCTTTGCCGGTCATCTCGATGACGGCCTGCATCTCGTGGGGCAGCATCAGGGGCGTGTAGATGTCCGCCGTCTGCAGGCCGTACATCTGCAGATCGACTTGCAGCTGGTGCTGATTGCTGGGCGGGGCGGTGGGCGCTCGCACACGGGACCCTCGGGGAGCAATGCGCTGTCTTCGGGCGAAGTCGACGATCTTGGAGAAGTGGGCAGTCGAGATGCACGAAAGCGTCATACTCCTACAGGGAACAGAGAGAAGGGGAGGGTTTTGTGCCTTGCCGCGTGCGTGTGCTCTTCGCACCTGTCGAATGCCGTGCCCAGCGGTTTGTCCCGCCCGATGAAGGCCAAGGTGGCCTCGGTGGTCGACACCCTCTTGCCCATCACGCGCACGCTCCTGATCTCATCGGCCCCGCCGCCCTTCGACTTGAGGAACGGTCCCATCACAGCATGGAACTTGGTCAGCTCCAGCTCTGCTGACCACAGCCGATCCACCGCCGTCTCGAGGCTCTCGACACTCGTGCGCAGGTCGCTCAGGGGGTCATCGACAGCATCGGCCTTCTTGGCCCCACCGGCAGCGTCCTTCTTCTCTCCGAGATCGTCAGCTGACGCATCCTTCTGCTGCTGCTGCTGCGATGAGATCTTGTTGTCGAAGAAGAGGTCATGGTAGAAGGGGTCGGATGGCACACTGCTGTCGGGCCCTGGCTCGAAGACGATCTCCTTCGTCTCGCCCTGGGCATCTGCAGCACCGACGTTGGCAATCTCGTCAAACAACCTGACACCAACAGATACAGCAGGAGGTACAGCAGACAGCATTATGTTGACTTTGTGTGCCCTCCCTGCCCTCAGTATGTCGACTGGCTCACCAGTCCATGTAGATTGGGTCAGCGTCGATGAATGGCCGGCCCTTTGTGTCCTTGGGCAGCCCATCCAGATGGTGCAGCAGCAGATAGGCGACGAACGAGCCGCTCACGCCGGGCAGCAGCAGCGGCTTGCGAGGCACACACAGCACCGTCCCGCCCACGTTGATCTCGATCTCACCACTCAACGGGCCCGTCACCATCGGCTGTCCGCCATTGCTTGTGATCAGGTCGCGAATCGTCGCTGCTTGCTGCCGCAGCTTCTTGCGGATCTGTTTGGCCGACTGCTCGATGGCGGCGAGCGCCTCGTCGGCCTCCTTCAACGCTCTGTCAACACAATGGCGGCCGATGATTGGCAGCGGCTCAAACTCGTCGCCATCGTCTTCAGACACCTCAGGTGCGCCCTCTGCTCTACGCTTCTTCGGAAACATCGTCAAAACGGCGTCAAAAAGCGAAAGCTACGAGGATGGCCGCTCAGGCTCGCAGAGAAAAGAAGGAGGGAGATCTGGGCAGGCGGCGACAATAAGGCCAAAGAACAGCACCAGAAGGTCGAGAAGAGCGACCGGCTGACCCAGATGCAGCTGCACAGCGAACATGTCACCGGGATGTCTAACAGCGCCAATGCCAACATCAACGTGGCCATCGAGATGCTCGTGCCGGCCAGCATCTTCGCCTACTGCGGCAAGTTCGTCAAGAGCTTCAAGAGCAAATGGGGGTCAATCGGATGCGTCAATCGGGTCAGAGGGAGGGAGGGAGGGGGGGAGGGGGAGGGAGAATAGAATGATGCGTTTTCATCGTGTGTGTCGTGTGCAGTGGTCGGGTCTGCCTTTCATCTGCATGAAATTCAAAGATCCCGAGCTGGAGTTCCAGTACCAGAGGCTCTGCAAGGAAGACACTCAGGTCAGTCAGCTGGCCTGTCAGCACATCGACACGCGTACCGGCAATGCATCTGTCTGTCTGCCTGCAGGAGACCCTCAAGACCGCCGGTGTGATATTCTCCCTTGCGTGGATCGTGTACGCCGTTGTGCTGTGGTTCGAGACCAGGGCGCATGGGATGGGCGATGTCTGGTGGCGGCGGATGACGGTGCCGCTCATCGTGGCCGTGGCCATTATCACATATGCCCTGCTCCACAAGATGCTGGTGCGGTGGTACATGTGTCTGGCCATCACCCGAGGCGATGGGGAGGACTGGAGCAACGTCCGCAACCAGGGAAAGCTCCTGGTCATGCTCGAAGTAG